ATGCAACGGTGGCATGCTTACTTGCCGCGGGGCGTGCGTGCATGCATGCATGTAGCCTAGCATCGGCTGCTCGTCTTACGGACGTTTCTTTTCCGGAAGCCAGTGTTTTCGCTTCGGCTGATTTATGGATGATTTAGCCGTTCGAGAGTCGGCGGGGCAATGACGTCAACGGTCAGCCGTCAGTCGTACGCATCCAGAACATTTTTTCTTTCTGGCTTTTCTCTTGGTCTCTTTCTCTCTCAGCCCAGCTCCCGTCTCTTTCTCTTCTGTATCTGTCTGTCTTCTGTCTTCTCTATATCTGTATATCTGATCTCTTCTTTCTGTCTTCTGCTGTATCCTCTCTCTCTCTCTCTCTCTCCGGTTCTCCCTCCTCTCTCTCTCTCTCTCTCTCTCTCCTCTCTCTCTCTTCTCTCTCGTTCTCTCTCTTCTGGCTCTGCTCATCTCTCTCTCTCTCTCTGCAATCTCCTCTCACTCTCTCCCTTCCCCGCTCTGTATAGTCTGCGCTTGTCGCCAGCTCCTAGATTTTTTAAGCGCAGGTTGCATTATTTTCTCTTTCTCTCTCTCCGTAACTCTCTCACTCACCTCTCTCTCTCTTGCTCTCGGCCTCTCGTGCTTCTCTCTGCCTTCTCTCCTCTGTGGCGCGCTCCTCTCTGTCTCTCCTCTCTTTCTCTCTCTCGCTCGCTCTCTCTCTCTCGCGCCGCTCTCTCTCTCTCTCTCTCTCTCCTTCGTTCTCTCTTCTCGCTCTCTCTCTACTTCTTCTCTTCTCCTCTCTCTTCTCTCTCTCGCTCGCTCTCATCTGCTCATCTCTCTCTCTCTCTCTCTCTCTCTTCTCCTCGCTCTCGTCCTTTCTCTCTCTCTCTCTCTCTCTCTCTCTCTCTCTCTCTCTCTCTCTCTCTCTCTCTCTCTCTCTCTCTCTCTTTCTCCCTCTATCGTGGACACACGAGCGTGCGCATGTAATACACGTTGCTATAGATGCTGCGCAAGTAAGAATAACTTCGCTTTCCAGCCTACTGGCAGTTCGTGAATGGGCTACTCGTGCTATACCACCGTAGACTCGAGTAGTCTTCTTTCTGCCCCTTTCTCGTCCTGCCAGAGCAAAATTGAATAGCACTTGACCGTGTTTACCCAGACACGTTCGCAATCGGGTTTCTTGTGTGTGGTTCGAGCGAGTTTTAATTGCGTTACTTCTATTGATTTCTTCATGTCCCAACCCTTACTACACTGGTCTTCCATGTTATCAGAAGTAGTCCCTATTATCTACTTCTGATGTTATGTGTTAGTTAACGGCCGCCCCCACCCCTTTTCGATTATCGAGGGGGAGGGGTTCAATTTCCCGGGTGTGAGACATTTGTAGACGTGAACGAACCGGCAAATTACGCTTGAAATCATTTTTTGAGTGAATGTTTTATACAGTTCGTCGGAGCGCTGTTATCAGAAACATCGTGGCTCCATGATAATGATTATCACTATTATATTAGAGGTCTCTAGTTGATCGCTCTGTTACACGTAGAAAATGTTACGACCAAGAATAATATTACG